CTAATCAGTGACTGTCAGTCACAATGACTTCCAATAACTGTCAAGTTTCTACCAAGCCACAAAAGTAAATGTCAAAGCAGCACTCACTTACCTGAAGCCATCCACTCTCTCTGTGGCTGCGGTTGGGGGAGCACCGGGTGTTATTGAAGAAGCACCAAAAAGTGGGCGTGGACACCTACCTGGCAGTTCTCCCCGCCCTGTGAATGTATGTGTTGGCATCCTCTGGACAATCAAACTGGAGCACCCAATTCACAGCAGGGAAATCTGTGGAAGAAAAGGTCGGGTAAGAAATCAATTTCAAGATCTGCCCTACTGCACTCTTTGTATTTTACTATCATGTTCACCAGGGCTTTCAGTCATAACGATCGGATAGACACCATCTGTGAACTCTATTAAAAATAAAATTAATTGTATGTACCAAGAGATAATAAACACTTCTGTCCTTTGACAAAGCGAACGAAAATTAATGGCAGTGTTTGGATGTGAGGATCACTTTGTATCTGACACAGAAGAGACAGATTGCTTTATGTCAGGCAGATAATGAAATGCCCTGATGTTTAATAACCAACAGAGCTACTTCTCATGGGCCCCCAGCGAACTACAAAAACCAGCTTCCAGATTTAAATAAACGTTTACTTCTGCTGGGAAAAAAGACGGTTTTTTCCTACTCCTGTGAAGAATTAGTTTCAGAAACCCACAGGGGCAGTTCTACCTGGTCCTATAAACAGCCGCTAGGAGTCAGTCGACACAAACTCAAAGGCAGGGACTGTGGTTTGGGTTTGTTCCTGTTACTCCCATCTCTATTCAAAATGAAACTTGAGTTTTTAATATGTTGTGCTTTATTTGCATTGAGGTTCTTATCTGTTTTTATTTTGTTTTGTTTTTAACGTTTTTGGGATATGAAACTCATGATAGGTACATCTCTAGATACAGTAATTCCTTGGGCGTATGGCAGGGAAGGCTGGGCTGGGGGTACAAATGAGAAGCTAAGAACAATGAGTACAAGAATGAAGAAAATGCTCTAAGGCATTGTGGTGATTTCACATCTCTTCTTGATGTAACTAAACTACTGAATTGTATATGTGAATTATGTGTCAATAAAACTATTGGGGGGGAAACAGATGCTGTCTTTCCAGGTCTCCCTCCCAATCCAATTTCCTGGCAATAGTTTGTGCATACACATTTCTAGGCCCTACAGTTTCCGTTAATTTCCAGAGAACCCTGCTTTCATTTCCATAAATGAATGATCTTTAACCATTTATGGATTTTGCTGTACGGATTTCACGTACAGATTCCCTATCAGAGGGAAAAGATTGAGCACCCTCAAAAATGAGCGCGGGACATAAGGGTATCTATGAGCATCAAAAGTACCACTAAGGCATAATCTACTCAGGAGGCTTACACTTAGGGGGGAAAAAAGCGGAGCCAAGATGTGCAGCGCGCCCTCCCCCGCTTTCACTCGTGCTCTCTCGCTCTCACCACTGGAAGCAACGAGGAAGCAGGCGGCAGGGGCCTGCTTCAGGGCACGAAGGCAAGCTAACAATGGCAGTCAGGCTTTAGGTCCCCCAGCTTAGCCTGTATGTCCAAGTCTCCTGACAGAGACCCAAAATCTTATTCCAGAGCATAGCGCCAGACAGAGACACCAGATGAACGTGGAAGACATGCACACCACAAAGTGGGTAAAAACAGGGGTAACCAAGGCAAAGTCTGCAGGCTGACTGGCAGGCCATCGGGTAAACATCCTTCTCTGCTCTTAGGTGGCGGCAGGTCAATGCCAATCACAGACCTGTGGGACAACATAGAGCCACTCTGTTGGGGTTTGTTGGCTGCGATCTTTACGGGAGCAG